GTGATAACGTCCTATGTTACTACCATTCTCCTTTCCTTCCCATTTTTCCTACTAAACAATAAAGCAAGATAGGTGAAAGGATACCAGGAGACAGAGGACAGTTCCTATCAAAACAATAGAGGCTCCATATATTTTCTCACTGGGGATCATGGGACCTGCTTTGATTCATGCAGGTATGGTTTTATTTGATGATGGCAGTGAGGATTGTCAAGGGAAACTAGCAATGTGCAAGCCCCTGTCAAGTGAGTAGGATTGCATTACATTGGGATTCTATTAATTGCATCGCATTGGGACTGTTTTCCTTGAGTGAATTAAGGTCTTTCCCTTCACCTAGACTAGAAAAAGAAACTGCTGAACTGAATTATATTCACAAACTCCAGTTCATTAGTAGGGTTATGAAGAAAGACAATGGCTTCATGTCAAACTAATGTATTAATGCAAGAGTCCTTGCTACTGCACATATAGCAAAAGTAATCTTCTCAGAGAGTTCTGAAAGCTGGTAAACTGACTTTTGGAAGCAGATTTATTGCTTTCATACATCAACACTAACTGATGATTATAAAGATCTGAAAGACCTGATCACCTTATGCAACCCTTATTTCGGGCAAGATACATGACTTGCATCTGTCTGAATCCTATTACATTTTATCCCACTTCCACGACTGTGTAAATATGCTTTATATCTGAGCATTTATCATCACTCTGTACTGCAGCTGAAGAAATGGGTTTATATCCATGAAAGCTCTTGCAAAAACAAAAAACAATCCAATATGTCTTAAAGTTGCTGACACATTTCTTTCCCCCTTCCCCACTCCTTCTTCCTTTTAATCCTTAAGTTGTGCCATTCATTAACACAACTGGGTTGTTGTAATGTGTCCAATTTCTTACTGAGAATCTCCATGCCACCTTTCTAGCATACAGCTCATAACAGGTGTTTTCCCTTAAACCTGTTCCCATGCACACCTAGGTCCCTCTGAATTTTTGAGGCTTGCTCGTAGATTATAGCTCTGTTATTTCTGTTAATTGTAATGTTTCATAGAGGCAGGTCACCCCAGCTGAAATTTGTGGGTGGTTTCCAGCCAGTCTCTTTCTACGTACTAATGGGAAGGTTTCATTACCAGAACAAGATTCCACTTGGCCCCAAGAACCCAAAATATACACTAGAGGGCTAGGAGGGACATGAAGTGTAGATGTTAGGGTTGTGGTGGCTTCAAGGAGTAAGAGTTGCTTCCTCCTTTTTCTGAAGAAACCTACCCATGGAGGAACACTAGTTGGACTTTTCCCTATGGGACTCAGAACTATGTGAGTATGGCAGAATCATGCTCACCATTTTATTCCTGATGACATATAATTTTTTTGTGGTGAAATTCCTCATCTTAGTTTTGTATATACTATCTATTTAGTGATGTATTTAGCAATGGCTTAGACTCACACTTATCAGGAGGTGCAAAGCTAAACACTGTAACAGCAGAGCAACGTGTAGTTGCTTAATGAGCTGACTCTGTACAGAAGAGCAAAGTTGCTAAAAAGAAGGGGGGGAAACCAACAGTCAATTTTGATGCTTAAATATAACCTTTCTGTACACAAAACCAGGTTTAACAAAGGGCCTTTGCAGAGTGCCAGAAATAGTGCAAATTGAGTCCACTTTAACTGCCCTGACTCAGTGCTAGGGAATCATGGGAACTGTAGATTATTGTGGCACCAGACTTCTTTGACAGAGAAGACTCAATGTCTCAGAAAAAAAATACAATTCCCATGATTCCCTAGCACTGAGCCAGGACAGTTAAAGTGGATTCAATTTGCACTATTTCTGGTAGTCTGCAAAGGCCTTTAGTCCATAAATGCCATTACATACAATACAAGTCACCTAGCTTATCCCCATGTAGAGACAATAAAATTAAAACTGTCCCAAGCGCTGATAATCTGAATATAAATGATGTATGGGTGGATCCAAAACCTTGGAAAGTTTGGAACGATACAGTCCAGATTAAATATTTTTAAGTCCCAGACATGTCAATGGAAGAATTTATGCTTAAACCCTGTCATTTAATTCCATGAGATTTTAAGAGGGCACCCTTGGATGAATTGCATCTCTTTTGTGATTTTTATAAAATTCAGCAACAATTGAGCTTTTCTAAACAGGTTAGATAGTAAATAAGATGGGGGTATTGTTGGAGAAAATGACTGAGGTCCAGACTGTGGATCTGCATATGGTTACCTTCTTAAAATGGAAAGTTGGTAGGGCTACAGACATTCGCTACGGGTTGTGTAAGACTTTAGTTTATGTCTCTTCCAGAGGTTGCTGGGCAAGACAAGTACATCCACAGTCCTAGTGTGTACAATCGCCCCTCCTTATTCATTGACTTTTTATCCAGAGAATCAAGCATCCATAGCTTGGAAATATTTTCTAAAAATATAAATTCTAAGAAGCAAACCTGGATTCTGTCATTTTCTATAAGCGACATAATTTTACTATGCCATTGCATTTAATGGGATTTGAGCATCCATGGATTTTGGGATCCATAGGGGTTCCTGGAACCAAACCCCTGTGGATACCAAGGGCCAACTGTACTCTTGCTTTATGCTTTGGGGGGAAGAAATAAAAATAATCAATAGTAATTTCCCTATTTAAAAATATATACATACATATACATTCCAACTTCTTGGGTTTTTTTAAATTGTGGGTGTGCTTCTCTTTCCCAGCAACCACTGCAAGAGAGATAAAGTCTTGCACAACTTGTTGTGAGTGTCTAAAGCCCTTCCATCTTTCATTTCAAGAAGGAAATCACCCTGAG